GATCTTACCATGTAGCTCAGGCTATCCTCAAACTTGCAATCCTCCTGCCTCAGCTTTCCCAGTGCTAGGGTTACAGGCATGTGGCCCCATGTCTGCTTTTTGCAATGCTAGGGCTTTGTGTATGCTAGGCAAGTACTCTACTGGTCTAGCCACACCTCCTAGCTAAGTCCATTATTTCTGTTGAACCAGGCCTGGAGCCTGGTACTGGGGTTCAGCAGGGACTATGTAGGCTGCACTGAAAGGTTTTGGGGTGCAGCAGGTGGATAAAGTCTGGATCGGACCTGGGCTCTGTCCAGTCAGGCCCCTTCTGGCCTTTCTCTACAGAGTGCTTCCTCTCCAGCTCAGCTGTGACTCACGAAGCTCCCTTACATCAGGTGCCATTCTGTGTGAGAGCCTCTCTGCAGGACTTGATCTCCGGAACCCCTTCAGCCTCTCCGATCCCCAGTTCTCCCCTCTGTAAAGTCAGAACAAGCTACTCTGAAGATCAGGTGAAACACTGTGTGGAGAAAGCTTGGGGCTCACAGCTCAGAGGTAGGGCCAGGAGAGATGGTGCCCATAGTCCTCTCGGGATCACGAATTGTTAGAAGGCCTTATTAATAAAATCAAACCTGAGGCCAGGCATTGGGGTGAACGCTGACAGATCAGAGAAGCAGAACAAGCCACAGCTTCCTCACCTCGCCAATTCCTCAGCTGATCCTGTTTCCTCAGACTGGAAGCCTCTGAGTCCTCATCCAAATGGATCTCAGCTGAACTGCTGCTCAAAAGTCTAAAAGCTTAACCAGCCTAGTTCCTGGTTGTCATGCTTTAAATACCTTTCTGCTTTCTGACATCACTTCCTGCGATTAAAGGCGTGAGTCACCATGCCTGGCTGTTTCCAGTGTGGCTTTAAACTCACAGAGATCTAGACAGATCTCTGCCTCTGGAATGCTAGGATTAAAGGTGTGAGTGCCACCATTTTCTGGTCTTTATATCTAGTGGCTGTTCTGTTCTCTGACCCCAGATAAGTTTATTAGGGTGCACAATATTTTGGGGAACACAATATCACTACACCTCTCTGTGAGCGATGGGAAGCCGTAGGGGGCTAAAAAGGGAGTCTATGGTCCAAACTGCTGGCAGTCTTGAGGACTCGCGACTGATGAAGGGCCCCTGTGGCCCAAGGTTGGGGTGACAGCTTTTAACTTGCAGTAGGGAAAGGTGACACCCAGGGAGGCTCAAGCCAGAGGACCTGGGGACACTGGCTGAGAGAATGGGTGTCCCAGGAGGGACAGATGGACACTGCCCGATAGCTGCATGCACTGCGGGCTAGGGAGCCGGTGGCAAAGTCGGAGAGTGGGGACAGGTTTGTGAGGAGCGGGGTTGGGAAAGTCCAGTGGAAGGCCGGGCAGGGTTCAGGAACGTGAGTCAGACTTCACGGCCCCAGTCAGGAGTCCCTAAGACTTTGCTTACAAAATATCTCTGGATTGGGGCTGACCCCCAGATTGTAGTGACTCTGTGTGTGTGTGTGTGTGTGTGTGTGTGTGTGTGTGTGTGTGTGTGGTGTGTATTTGAGGTCAGTCTGGGCTCCTTAGAAAACAAAACAAAACAGGGGCTGGGATGTAGCTTAGCTGATAGAGTGCTTGCTCAGTAGGTATGAAACCCTGGCTTCCATCCCCAATACCACATAAATCAGGTACAGGGGCACACCTGTAATCTCAGCATTGGGAGGGGAAGGCAGGAGGACCAGAAGTTCAAGGCCATCCTTGACTATTGAGTGAGTTTGAGGCCAATGTATATATTATGTACATGTCCTGGAGATAAAGCTTGGTGGTAAAATACAAGTACGAAGACCTGAGGTTTGGCCCCTAGATGGAACTCAGGTGACTAGGCTTGGCAGCAAGAGTTTTACCTGTTGGGCCATCCCAATGGCCCTCTTTTTGTTTGCTTTTGAGACAGGATCTTCTGTAGCCCAGGCTGGCTTCAAATGCTGTGTGGGTGGTGGTTTGAACGAGAATGATCCCTATCGGCTCATATGTTGAATACTTGGTCACCAGTTGGTGGAACTGTTTGGGAAGGATTAGGGGGTGTGGCTTTGTTGGAGGAAGTGTGTCACTGGGAGAGTAGGCTTTTGGGTTACAAAAGACTTGTGCCATTCCCATTTAGCTCTCTCTGCCTTGTGGTTGTAGATCATATGCCAACTCTCAGCTGTTCCTTTGCTCCGCCATCACCGACTCTGACCCTCTGAAACTGTAAGCCAAATTCAATGCGTTCATATAAGTCACCTTGGTTGTGACGTTTTATCACAGCAATAGAAAAGTAACCAAGACATTACATAACGGAGGATGACGTTGACCTTCAGGGCCTCTTGCTCACACCTCTTAAGCGCTGGGATTACAGGTGTGCGCTTCCACACTTGGTTTATGAAGTGCAGGGGATCAAACCAAGGGTTGTGTGAGAAGGACAAACACCGCACTGAGAGGAACCCGCAGCCCATTGCTTGATTTTCATGATTCTGTCAAAGGGCCTCACTGGGCCATCCCTCACACCTAGGTGCATTCCTATCCGTGTCTCCTCCAGGACATACCCACTATGTGGACTACCTTCTTCTTTTCATTCTGCCCCACACATTCTTCTAAATGCAGCTTCCTAGGGCTGCTGCTCTGACATTCTTTTCTGAACCCTCTCGGTGCTCGGGACCCTCCATACCCAGGTACTTTGGAGTTAGTGCTCAGTGATGATTTCCCATCGGCTTTTCCCCCTCAATGACCAGGACAGCCCCTGGTACCCAACGGTGCCAAGAGTGCCTACTACTGAAGGAGGCCATTCAGAAGTCATCACGGGGAGCGGCACACCTGCCTGAAACCCTGTTTGTGTCTGCTCTCTCCTTTGGGTACCAAACCAGGCCTTTGGGTAGCTCCTTTCTACCACTTGTTCATCAAAAATTACCTCACCCACCTGGAAGAGGACAGTGAACCACACCATGGAGCCTCAGCGACCAGGGAATGGGCTGTGAGGACGACACCTCTGATTCGTCTGTCTGCCTGTCCCCAGATAGTGCCTGGCTAGGGCAGAAGGCAGAGGGCACAGCATGGAACACCTTCTGGGGAGTTCACAGAGAGAACGGACTCCTTACCCCTTGCTGTTGACAAAATACCCAACAAAGAGGCTGTGGGGATGCTCGGCGGGCCATGCACTTGCTGTGCAAGCGTAGGGACCTGAATGTGGATCCCCAGAGCCCAACAAAGCCAGGCATGGGAGCAAGGTCTGTCATCTCAGTGGACAGGGGAGAGCCCTCAGGAGCCTATGAGTCAGTTCCAATGCTAAAAAATAAAACAAAGAGGTCCTGTCTCACATGACATGGAAGGTAAAGACCCTCACTGGGGTTGTCCTCTGACCTCCACAGGCAGAAACGTATGTGCGCGAGCATGTGAGCACACACACACACACACACACACACACACGGGTGGAATCTGACAGAAGTCACCTAAGACTGAAGGGTTTCCTTCAGGTCACAGTTGGAGGGTGCGGTCCATCAAGGCAGGAAGCCATTGGCAGCGGAGTGTGAGGCGGTTGCTCATACCACATCCATAGTCAGGAAGCAGAGACGAATGTCGGGCACTCTGCTCACTTTCTCCTTGTTATTCAGTCTGGGACCCCAGGCCACGGGATGGTGCTGCCCACAGCTAGGGTGGGTCTTACCACCTCGATTATCCCAGCCTAGAACTTCTTCACAGGCGTGCCCAGATGTTTGTCTCCAAGGTGGTTCCAGGTCTGTCCGAAGGAGGCAGCCCTCCAGCAGGGATGCCGGGGTCAACGATGGGGTTCCTTAGCCCCTGTCACCCTCAAGCCAGGCTCATTTGCACTACAGATTCTCTCCAGTCCTGGGATGGCTCTGGGTTCCTGGGTCTGGCTTCCAAGTAGCACCCCAGATCTGACGTGGATGGTGTGGCTTTTTTTTTTTTTTAACCTTCATTAGTTAGATGCTCATCCCAACACTGAAGGAGTTAGGAGGAGCTGGGAGCAGTCTGGAGTGAGGAACTGGTTTTCTAAGAGGGGTCCAGAGCTTCCCTACACCAGGACCTGTGGGGGCAGAACACTAATCAAGGGACCCCACTTCACCCTTCACTCTTCCTTCTAGAACTTTCTGCCCCCCCACTCCGCTCTTAACCACTTTTCCTTGTTCTTTGTTTAGCGCTCCAAGCTTGTGGCTTCTCCAGGGGACTCACCCCCTGCCAGGACTTGAGGCCTCTTGATGTGCTAGTCAGATGCTGGAGCTGGGGCAACTTCTGGCCACCTTAGACCACACGCTAGTCCTCATGCCTTAGACCACACGCTAGTCCTCATGGCTTGGGGTGGGGTTTCATGCCAGAGTTTGAAAATTCAGATTATCTCATTGGCTGAGCCCATATTCTCAAGATTCCTGATGGTGGGGGCCGAGGTGCTGTGACCTGTGGATGGTGGGCAGGTTCCAAAGCTGCCTAGGCAGCTTCTGGCATGTTGAGAGGACTAGCCAGGACCTCTGCGCCCATGAAATTGGCCCTAAGGTCCAGATGTAACCCCTCAAAGACAGCTGAGGTTTACCCAAGACTGGGCACAGCCCAGCACATAGGGGATACCACGTGTCTGAAGGACATGTCAGAGGCATCCAAAACGATTACATTTATTTGTTTATTTGTTTATGTAGTATGTGGGGCACATATGGAGGTTAGGGGGATAACTTTTTTTTTTTTTTTCATGACAGAATTTCTTTGTGTAGCCTTGGTTGTCCTGAAAACTTGCTCTGTAGACCAAGTTGGCCTTGAACTCACAGAGATCTGCCTGCCTCTACTTCCTGAGTGCTGGGATTAAAGGCAGACGCCACTGCTGCCTGGTGTAGGGAACAACTTTGGAGAGTTGGTTCTCTCTTTTCACCACATGGGGCCCGGGGATCAAACTCAAGTCTTCAGACTTGCAGCAAGTGCTTCCCTTTGCCCGCTGAGCTGATCTGATGGCCCTGTATTCTTTTGAATGTGTATTCTTTGGTGTGAGTGTGTATGTGTATGCACGTATGGTTTATGTGCGTATGTTTGGGGGTGTGCCAATACACACCAGTGTGGAGGCCAGGGAGGGTGCAGAGTGTCCTCTGTCATGCTCAGCCTTATTCCTTCAGACAGTTCCTATCGCTGAACTAGACCTAGGCTGCCAGCCAGTCAGCCCAAATGATCCCACTGCTCTTGTCTCTGACATCATTAGGTGCTGCCAGGCCCAGTTTTTGTGTGGTGCTTGGATCTGAACTCAGGTCTTCACGCTTTTGAAACAAATGCTCTCACTGAGTCAGTCACCTCTCCAGCCCTGGTGGGGATGTGTTTTTGGGAGAAGAGGTTGAAGGCAGGTGTGGTGGCTCAGGCCTGCAATGCTAGTGCTTGGGAGGCAGTAGCAGGTGGATTTCTGTGAGCTAGAGTTCGAGGCCAGCCCTGTAGCCTGGTCTACATAATGGGACCCTGTCTCAAAAAATAAGAATAAGAAGGAAAAGGAAAAAGACACTTGCACATGGATGTTTGTTACAGTATTCACAATAGCTGAGTTATGGGGCCAACCTACTTGTCCATCAACAGAGAAAGATGGACATTTCTTATGTCCATCACATAAGAAAATTTGGTTTATACAGACAACGAAAGTGGGGACCTGAGTAAGAATGACCCCACGGGCTCGTATGGGTGCTTGGTCCCCAGTGGACCTGTTTGGGAAGGATTAGTAGGTGTGGCCTTGTTGGAGGAGGTGTGTCACTTTAAGCTTTCAAAAGTCCACATCACTCTTAGTTAGTTCTCTCTCTGCTTCATCCTTGTGGATCACATGTAAGTTCTCAGCTACTGCTCCAACACATACCTACTGCCTGTTGCCATGCTCCCTGCCCCAATGGTCATGGGCTCACCCTCTGAGACTGTAAGCCCCCATGAAATGCCTTCTTCTGTAAGTTGCCTTGGTCATAGTGTCTTATCACAGAAAAACAAAAACAAAAACAAAAAAACCACTAAGACAGTGGATGTTTTTCAGACATAAAGACTACAGTTATCTAGCAGAGGCAGAGGCAGAAGCAGGGGGTTCTGTGAGTTCAAGACTAGCCTGTTCTACATAGGGAGCTCCAGGACAACCGGAACTACAGAACTACAGAGAGACCCTGTCTTGACAAACTAACAAAAGAAAAGAAAAGGAAAGGAAAGAAAAGGAAAGGAAAGAGCACAGTTGCGTTGTTTGCTGTAAAAAGGACTCAAGTGCAGAGGGAGCATGTCAAGTGAATGAAGTCTCAGTTTCAGAAAGATGAGCTTCATATGTTTTCTCTCATTTGTGGGTCCTGGACTTTACAGATACACAAACTCAGAACTGTGTCGTTGACATACAGGAAAGACCGAAACCGTCTAGGGGAGGAGAGGGGACGAGTCGGGGATGAGAGGGGAGGGTAGTAGGGTGTGGGGAGGAGATATGTCAAAGTAACACATACATGCATGAAAATGGCCTTAAGTAACCTTGTGGGGTAATTAAACAAATACAATATCTAATAAATAATAAACAGATAAATAATTCAAAATAAAGAGAGCAGAGGTGAGCCGAGTCTTGGGACAATGCAGGAGGAGATGGGCGGGAAAGGGTGGTGGGGTGAACTGGGTGAGGCTCAGAAGCAGAGAGGGTGTGGAACAGCAGGGGGCTGAAGATGGCACTTCCTGGCTGGAGGCCAGGTGTCTGTGGGGACACTGTGGTTAAGAGCTGCATCTGGGAGGGCGAGTGGGTATTTATGAGGAGCGAGTGAGCCCTGGAAGAAAATTCCAGAGGGAAGAGTCACAGTGCCCAGTACAGAGGGTGAGCGGCTGTAGAGCGTGATCCAGTGCCTGTCTCCCATAACACTCCTGGGGAGGAAGTCACCACACGGAGTGTCAGTGAGGAGTTGGGGTGTTACCACCTCAGCTGGAGGTCCTTTTATCCCCACCTGAAGGAAAGAGAGGTGATGTGACTGAGGTTTCGTGTCGGAAAGATTGTGTGCATGAGTGGAAGCGTAGCCGAAGCGGCAGAGTGCTTGCCTAGCGTGCAGGAATCCCTGGGTTCTACATCAGAGCCTCATAAACCAGGAGTGGTGGTGCCTATTGTCCAGCACTCAGGAGCAGAGAGGAGGAGAGGGAGGAGGAGGAAGAGGGGGAGGAGGAGGAGGGGGAGGAGGAGGGGGAGGAGGGGGAGGGGGGGAGGAGGAGGGGGAGGAGGAAGAGGAGGAGGAGGAGGAGGAGGAGGAGGAGGAGGAGGAGGCTATTTTGGCTTATGGTTTTAGATGTTCCAACCTGTGATTGGTAGCTCTGTTGCTTTGGTCCCCAAAGGTACAGCATGGACGGAATGTGTGGCAGAGTGTAACCTTCTACCTCATGGTTATAAGGTGAAAGACAGAAAGAGGAAGAGACGAGGGTCCCACAGTCTCTTAGAAGGGCCCATCCCCAATGACCTGGAGACCTCTTGTTAGGCTCTACCCCTTAAAGCTTCATTACCTTCCTACAATGCCAAGTCGGGGACCAAGTCATTAAGACATGGTCTTTGCAGGAGTGGAGGAATTCTAAATCGAAACAGCACCTTGGAGAATGCACTTTTCCTTCGAGCATGCATGAAATGTTCAGGAAAGTTGTCCCCAAGCTGTACTTCCAGGAAGGTCCTGCAGTGTTTGGAAGAAGACACAATTTGTGTTTGTTGGTCACCGTGCGATGAAGCCATAGTCCACTGATGCCCATATGTCTGGAAACAAAATAACATCACAGTCAGTTAGACCTGGATTAAGGAGAAAGTTTCTAGGGAAAATGATACAACGCTTAGACCAGAACACCCCACAGACATGCTGTATGTTCACACTGGGAGACTCAGCCAAGAAGCCCTCACAGGAAAACACAGAGCTATACGCACATGAACCAAGAGCCATGGGGTGGAGCTCCATTGATACACACTTGCCTAGCAGATATGAAGCCCCTGGGTTCAGTCTCCAGAGACACATAATTCCAGCACTTGGAAATGGAGGCAGGAGAATTATGAGACTGAATCTAGCCTGGGCTGCATAGTGAGACCTTGTTTCAAAAAAAGTGGACAAAGCAATCAACCAAAAGTTTGAAATGATAACCACAGGCCTTTTATTTAAAAAAAAAAAGCTAGGCTCAGATAGTCTTCTAAAAATTGTATTTATTTATTTTACATGTGTGTGGGGGAGGGTGGGGGCATTTGAATACCGTGGGATATATGTGGAGGTCAGAGGACAACTTGCTGGAGCTGGTTCTCTCCTACATGTGAGTCCTGGGGATCAGACTTAGGTCCTCAGGCTGGTGGCAGACCCTATTTCCTGCTGAGCCCTCTCCCCGGCCCTAGGCTCACATGGTCTGAACAGGCACATCCTGTTAAACCTTCAAAGAATACATGATTGCTGTTCCAAATTTTGTTCCAGAATTAGACAGATCAGGAAAGATGCCAGTTAATTTAAAAGTTAGCTAGTACAACTAACTTGTACCTCATAAGCATTGACCTAGTTAATTTAAACTAGTTAGTTAGTATAATATAGATTTGAGACCTGGTAAGGAAAAAGACATTGTGTGTGTGTGTGTGTGTGTGTGTGTGTGTGTGTGTGTGTGTGTGTGTGTTCAATATTTGTGAGTACAGTGTGTGCACACATATGGAGGCCAGAGGTTGATGTCAGGTATCTGCCTCAGTAGCTCTCCATGTTATTTTTTTTTTTTTTTTTTTTTTTTTTTTTTTTTTTTTTGTTTGTTTTTCGAGACAGGGTTTCTCTGTGCAGCTTTGCGTCTTTCCTGGAACTCACTTTGGAGACCAGGCTGGCCTCGAACTCACAGAGATCCGCCTGCCTCTGCCTCCCGAGTGCTGGGATTAAAGGCGTGCACCACCACCGCCCGGCTCCATGTTATTTTTGAGGCAGGGTCTCTCACCAACCCTAGAGCTCACCAATTCATCTAGACTGGCTTGCCAGCGAGCCCCAGGATTCTTCCGTGTCTGCCTCTAGGATTGCAGGTGCTGCCGTGCCTGGCTTTTTAAGGAGGTTCTGGGGGATTGAACTCAGGCACCCAGGCTTGCTTAGCAGCTACTTAACCACCTCAGCCATCGCCCCAGCCCTGACATATTTTCAGTGAACACGTAATTTGAGAGTTTCGAAGCAGCACAGCTTTAGAAAAGCCATCAATGACATTCTTGACATCAATGAATGAAAAAGCCGAGTCACTCCAGATTCAATAGCACTTGAGGGATTCTAATGGAAATCCTGTGAGAAAACCAAGAAGAGAAGGGAATTCCTTAGTCATTCTTCTCACTTCATTATGATCGTATGTGGGCATGATCTGTGGGCATGATCTGTGGGCATGATCTGTGGGCATGATCTGTGGGCATGATCTGTGGGCATGATCTGTGGGCATGATCTGTGGGCATGATCTGTGGGCGGGCGTGGGGTGGGGTGGGGCACGTGCCCCAGTGTGTGTGTGCAGCCAGAGGGCAGCCTGTGGAGTTGGTTCTCTCCTGCCACTTTCACATGGGCTCTGGGAATCAAACTCAGGTCGTCAGGCTGGCTGGGCAAGGGCCTTTACAGTGGAATCGTTCCATCTTAGAAGGAATACATACCAAAAACACTTCAGAGAATCATAATTAACGAAGACATCTTTGGGTCGTTTATACCAAGATTTAGAACCAAGTAGCTATACTTTTATGACCACAGCACTGTGTGTTTTTCTTTTTAAATTTTAAATTCCATTTTATTATTTATTTGTGAGTGTGTATGTGACTGTGTGAGTGTGTGTGTGAGTGTGTGTGTGTGTGAGTGCGTGTGTGAGTGTGTGTGAGTGTGTGTGTGTGTGTGTGTGTGTGAGTGTGTGTGTCCCGAGCGTGCAGGCAGAGGACAACTTGCATTAGTGAGCTCTCTCTTTCCACCCCTTTAGGTACAGAGATGGAACTCGGGTCACAGGACTGGAAGTAAGCGCCTTTACCTACCAGCTGCTGCTGCTGTTGTTTTTGTTAAGATACAAGCTAGAATCATTTGAAAAGAGGAAGGCTCAACTGAGAGACTGGCCTGTAGGCAAGCCTGTGGAGCATTTTCCTGATTGAAGATCGGTGTGGGAGGGCCCACAAGGCTCTCCCCTCCCCACTGTGGGCAGGGCCACCCTGGGCCAGTGGTCCTGGGGTGTATAAAAAAGCAGCCTGAGCAAGCTAGGAGAGCAAGTCAGTGAGCAGCACTCCTCTGTGGCTTCTGCTTCAGCTCCTGCCTCCAGGTTCCTGCCTTTGAGCTCCTGTCCTGCCTTCTTTCAGGGATGGAGTGTCATCTGACTGTTGTGAGCTGAAATAAACTCTTTCTTCCCCAAGTTGCTTCCAGTCATGGTGTTTATCGTAGCATTAGAAACTGTGACTGAGACATCCGCCAAGCGCCAACCTTTTTTTTAACATGTCATGGTTGGGTTTGGCCAAAGCCTTTTCAAGGAAAAAGCACAAGAGCCATGGGAATGGAAGAAGTAGGACTGCCATTCGAGGGCCACATGATCAGCTGCGTGGGAAGCCCAAGCTGGTGAACAGGAAGGCTATAGAATACTGAGAGAACTCAGAGAGGCCACAGATGGACTTGCACGCCAATGGCATTGCTTTAGACCCAAGCTGGCAATGGTTAGATGGTAATTAGTTTTGGTTTCATGGGCTACATGAAGATTCTTGAGCATATTTATTTTCTCCATCTTCCTCCTCCCCTCCCCTCCCCTCCCCTCCCCTCCCCTCCCCTCCCCTCCCCTCCCCTCCCCTTCATTTCCTTCCTCCATTTAAAATAACTCTTTATTAAAACTATAAAAACATTTCTTAGCTCACGGGTTGTAGAAAGGACAGCCTGGAGCGGGGAACTCTGTTCTGTAACACACACTGGTAGAAAATAAGTTGCCGCTTACAATAGCATAGAGCCTATAAATGATCAGGATTACCTGACACAACCTACCTGAACAAGACCATCTTGGAGAACAAAACAAAACAAAACAACACAACACAACAAAACAAAAAACAAAACAAAACAAAACAAACCTCTTTGCCAAAGGGGGATTTATAAGAATTGAAAAGGAGACAAAACAAAACAAAAACAACATTCAACTCACATAGGTGGGATGAGCTAACACCATAAAGGTGTTCAACCTCCATGGCTGTCTCTACACTAAAAGCAATCCTAAAAAAAGTTCAGATAGACGTCTTGAAGAGTCCAACAACCCTGTTCTAAAGCTGTGGGTAGCAAGTTAGGAAAGAAGAAGAAATTTGGTGTGTTTTGTTCTTGAGTGATACTATATCCTCTTTCTCATTGAGTAGATATGTCGGGTGTTAGCTGAGCACATGGCTATCCAGCTTGCCGTCAGAATTTGTAGCTTATTCTCCATCTGAGAGCTATGAAATATGGCCTAAGACCAAATTCCAGCCAATAGAACATGAACAGAAAGACCTGTGGGCGACATAGAGGACATCTCTCACCTTCTAGAACATTCAGCTGATCTCACTCTGGGTGATGAGGATCGTGTCCAGGGGACTCTAGAAGAGCACGAAAATTCCCAGACCTTGGAAGTTTGGGTGACCGTATGGGCAGAGTTGTCCTTCCCTGGACAACCACCACTTAGAGGTTCACACCAGGAGAAATACCCATTTCCTCTTCATCTCCCCCCTCTCTCCCCCGCCCCTCTGTCTTTCTTTCTTTCTTTTTGAGATAGGGTCTGTGCAGCGCAGGCTAGCCTCCAGCTCACATTTGGCTGAGGATGGCTCTGAACATCTGATTCTCCTGTCTCGACCTCCTGAATGCTGGGATTGCAGGTGCCCACCACCACGTCTCGTTTCTGTGGTTCTGCGGGTGGAACCCAGGCCTTTGGGCATGCTAGGCAAGCTCTCTACCAACTGAGATTTTAAGTCTGAGAGGAGATGCTTTAGCTTCACTGCCTGCTTTCGGGAAAGCCCAGAGCCTGATGTTCGCAGCTCAGGCACTCAGGAGGCTGAGGTCGGAGGATGCTGCAAGTTCAAGGTCAGTCTGGGCTGCATAGTGAGTTCCAGGGAGGTTTGGGCTACAGAGTGAAACCCCGTCTTAAAACAGCAAACCAGGGCTGGAGGTGCAACTAGGTTAGTAAAATACTTGCCTTGTGAGCATGAAGACCCAAGTTCAATCCCTAGAGCCCATGCTAAAACATAAAAATCCTGGGACCGGGGAGATAGCTTGGTGGTTTAAGTGTGGGCTGTGCAAGCATGAAGACCTGCGTTCTCCCTGTTCCCCACACTGGGGCAAGGGAAGAGGTGGATCATGGCCTGACCAGTCATCCATCCAATCACTGAGCAACAGGTTCAGCGAGAGAGACCTTGTCAAAAGAAAAAGAAAAAGGTAGAGGAGCTGGAGAGCTGGCTCAGTAGTTGCGGACACCTGCTGCTTTTGCAGAGGACCCAAATTTGGTTCCTACCAAGCACCCTCATGGTAATTCTCAACTTTCTATAACTCCAGTTCTAGGGGATCTGATGCCCTCTTCTGGCTTCATGTGCACACAGGAACACACACAAGCACACACACACACACACACACACACACACACACACACACACACACACTCATACACACACATACACACACACACTCATACACACACATACACACACACACACTCATACACACACATACACACACACACATTAAAAAAAATAAAAACAAAATTTTAATAATAAGCACTTGAGGCCGATCCTGATTTTCACGTGCACAGGCACACATGCGCACCCACACCCATGAACCTGTGTACTCACACACAAAAGCAAGTGAAACCGAAACAAACAAGAACAACAATAAACAAAGAGAAAGAAACCAACAGAAGAGACCGATGGTGATGGCCATGAGTAGATAAATCTCAGACAATGAATCCCCAGTGACTAAGACACATGTGCAGAGATGCCCCAGCTCATGACCATGAATGAAATGTAAATCTGAAGCGAGTTCCCACTCTGCGCCCATCAGAATGGCAAATCAGGAGGGTGGGTGATGGATACCAGGTGTTGACAGGTGCGTGGGGAGATGAGGCCTTTGTGCACCAATGAGTGTGGGAGTGGGAACAGGTGCTACCAGTCTGGAAAACAGTCTTTATTTTGATTGCGTTTGCATAGACTCTGGGGCCAGGAATCCCATTCCTGGGTAAAGAGCCCAGAAAAATTCTTTAAGTGGGGGCATGAAAGAGGACATTAAAGGTGACTGAGAATGATGGCCGACAGTGACGAGAGAGGAATGAGGGTCTCCTTGGAAGTGAGAGCAGATTTGAAGCAATGGATGAGGTGTACATGTAGCCCACGGAAGGTGTTAGCATAGGGAAAAAGAAATGGACTATATCATGCTGGTGATTCTTAACTAAAAATTCATCTATCATCATCATTGTGTGTGTTGTGTGTGTGTGTGTGTGTGTGTGTGTGTGTGTGTGTGTGTGTGTGTGTGTTGTATGCGTGTGGAGCCAGGGGACAACTGTTTAAAAGGGAATCACTTTTGTTACATTTTGTTTGTGGTAGGCTCTTTAATTGTAGTTTATCAACTTTGTGTGTGTGTGTGTGTGTGTGTGTGTGTGTGTGTGTGTGTGTGTGTTGTATATGTACGGAGGTGTGTGTGTCACAGTGTGCTCATAGGGGTCAGAGGACAACTTGTCATCATCACCACCACCACATCTTCTATTTTGTGCATGCACAGGCTTCTTGGGTTTAGGAAGTGTGGGTGCATAGGAATGTGCATATATTTGGAGGCCAGAAGAAATGTTGGATGGTTTTCTCTAGCACTTTCCACACGGTGTTTTTTTTTTTTTTTTTTTGAGACAAGCTTTTTCACTAGTCTAGGACTGGCCAGGTAGACTAGGATGGCTGAGAAGCCCAAGGGACCCGCCTGGCTCTTCCTCCCCAGCACTGAGATGACTAGCATGTACCACCACATCTGGCGTCTTCCACGTGGGTTTGGAGACAGAATTCAGTTCCTCATGCTTGGACAGCAAGCGTCTCACTGACTGAGCCGTCTCCCTAAACCTCTATTGTTTGAGACAGAGTCTCCCCAGTGAATCTGGAGCTCGAGGATTCAGCCAGGTTGTTTAGCTAGCAAGTCCTGGTAACCCTCATGTCCCCACTCTCCCCAGCACAGGCACATACTGCCGTGGCCAGCTAACTTACATCGGTGCTGGGGATCTGAACTCAGGTCCTCATGCTTCTGTGGCAAGCACTTTCCTCAGCCGGCCATCTCCCCAGTCCCCAGGGAATAAAACCCAGGAAATGCTGCACCTGCCCCACAGCTCCCCACCCTCTCCTTTCCATCTCCCCAGAAACACCCACCACAGAGAGCTTCACTCCTTTGCACACGGTTGTATTTTCCCTCACAGAGAAGTATTCACAAACAAAATGCCATGCTGTTTCGCATCGTTTAAGATTTTGTATAAACACTCTCAGGTTGCCCTACCTCCTGGTCACTTGCTTTTGGGTCCACACTGTTTGGCCAGCACCCTGTTGACACAGGCACCTCTCCCTTGCTGCTGATATCTGTGCCGTAGCAAGACTCCATGGCTGTCATTCACGCCAGTTTCTCATTGATGGAGAACATTGTTGTTTCTAGTTTTTTGCTTTGTCGACAACGGTTCAGTAAACATTCTTGTGTGCGCGTGTGTGTGTTGGCACCCATATGCAAGGGATTCTGTTGGAGAAGGTTCCAGTCATCTGTGGTACATAACAAATTATCCCCAAACATCATGGTTTGAGGACCGGGGAGATCGCTCAGTCGGTAGGGTGCTGGCTTGCAGATAGGGGATCAAAGTTGAATCTTAGCACCCACGTAATACAGTCAGGTGTGGTGGCGTTCACCTGTGATCCCAGCACCAGGAAAGTGGCAACAGGAGGGTCCCTGGGACTCGCTGGCCAGCTGGTCTTGATGAATTGGTGAGCTCCAGGTTCAGTGAGAGAGCCTGT